GCTGAGAAACTAGCAGGTCTGGGTGAACTGGTGGTTTAAGAGAGAGTCATACATCGTGAGACACTAGCCAATCCATGATCAACGCTGCACCCACCACCTTCCCCTGCCCCACGCAATCAGTCAAAGTGTGGAAAACTCAAGTGGTGCAATCAACTGCAGAAGTAAAGGATGGACTATCTTTGAAACATCATAAATGTGTCTAGGTCACATCAGTGCTCCTTTTAATGGACAAGGACACAAAGTGTGACAGCCCTTGTCTAAGTAGGTGAGTGGTGTACGAATTTGACAAGTACAAATGAGGTCTACAAATAGATCTGAGAAACTCATGTAGAATGAATGAAGGTGTGTAACCACATCAGGATTATCATGCATGTATCTGACTGTGACGTGGGACAGGATCATTAAAAAGGTAGTGTAACGTACTGTCACGTTTGGTTGATCAGAAGTATAGTGACAGGAACGTGCTAACCTTCATGGGAGTCTACACTACTATAGAAACCCCTAGGCGTCATAAGGAACGACCTGGATTGCAGGCCAATCTCCACTGCGGATGGCACAAATCTCAGGCCGATGAGAATTTGTTTTGTGGAGGGCATTCCACGGGAATGCGATCGTGACTGATAGATGTGAATCGCTGATCTGTTCATCGACAATTCTGTTAAGCTATTTATGTGCTCTTTCCCCTGGCCAGGTGCACCACAGGACCTTTGTCACGATGGGTTTGATTGGAATCTGCCCCTGATGATTTGTCTCCCTTTTTACCATGTTTCCAGCCCAATAGTCAGTATCGTCTGTCCCGAATTGACGGCATAATTTTGAGTAGCGAATGTAATGACTTTCTTTTTGGTTCATAGGTTGTGGGCCCTCGGTCATCATTTGATGCTTGTATAGGTGTCAGGGTGAATGGGCAGGTTGTCATTTTTGTTCCTTACCTCTGACTGATATATCACTACCAACATGACAAAGTTTTTCGGCCGCAGGCTGTGTCGGTTCACCTCTGATGAACTTCGGCCGTGCGATCAACGATTTTGAGATGTCGGATACGAATCTGACGCGTTTGACGCGCCGTGATACAATCTCAACTGATGATGCATGGATCGTGAGGCGTCCGATACAACATCTGTCGCATCTGACATGCCTCAGCCGGGCGCCGTTTCCTTTCTTTTTCTTTTCTTTTTTCTTTTTTTTTTTGTTTTTCTACTTTTTTTGCGTTTCGGGCGGGAGTTTCACTGCTTTCCTTTTGCTTTTGGGCCGGCCCTCCGCCCTCCGCACCCACCCTCTGCGCTTTGGCCTTCGGATTTCGCCCTCTTCGCCCGCCCTCCGCCGGGCGCCGTTTCTTATTGTTTTTCCTACTTTTTTTGCGTTTCGGGCGCGAGTTTCACTGCTTTCCTTTTGCTTTCGCGCCGGCCCTCCGCACCCGACCTCTGCACCCGCCCTCCACGGTTTTGCCCTTCGCCTTCGCCCTCCGCGCCCACCCTCCGCGCAACGAAAGCGCTTTCGCACCCGCCCCCCCACGCGCATGCACACACACGCAGCCGCCTGCCTGCCCGCGCACGACCTATTTGCCACTACGTCTCTCTCTCTCTCTCTTTCTCTTTGTTGGTGGTCCGGCTCCCATGCATTTCTTTTCTTTTTTTTTTCTTTTTTTTTCTTTTTTTCTTTTTTTCTTTTTTTCCAGAAAAAAAAAACGTACGAGTGAACAGACACAGCCCGACATATAGTTTTTTCATGGGAGCCTCTCTCTCTCTCTCTCTCCGCTGCCTTGGCATATAGTTTTTTTCTTTTTTTTAAAGGCTAATTCTTTTAAGCCTCAATTATCCGTCGAATCTGGACAGGTTGGCCTTTCAGGCCTTTTTTATTGTCATTATAGTATTACGGGGAACCTCGTAGCAGCCACATCCGTGCTCAAGCCTCCAACGAGGGAACATGCGGGAGCTGCACCCACTAGCAGGTATGTCATTATAGTATTACGGGGAACCCCGTAGCGGCCACATCCGTGCGCAAGCCTCCAACGAGGGAACATGCTGGAGCTGCACCCACTAGCACGTGAGATACCTGCTACAGCAGGTGGGCGATACCGGCCAGGGGTCAGGCGGTAGCATCAGGACGGACCTTCTTCGATGGGCCAGTCACTGTGCCTCCCCTCCCCCTATGAACATCAGCAGTCTCTGCTCAATGCCACTCGGGGGGACCAAGGGTATATCTCTAGGTGGCGGGCGCCAAGCTTGCTGAGGAAGGTACATGAGGCCAATGGGGATTGAACCCAAGACCTGCTGAATGCCACTTGCATGCCTTAGCAACTGAGCTAGGCCGCTGGATCTCCCTGGCATATAGTGATTACGTATACGCATTGTGAAATGCATGGGAGCCTGACATTGTTAGGGAATCGTGATGCAGCGAACATTCAGCGGAAGTCTAGGGAGGTGGGTATGCAGTCTGCGTGATGCAGCGAACATTCAGCGACAACGCTGAAGAGTATGTAGCCTGAATAAATAAATAAATAAATAAACGATAAACGATAAATAAAGGACGGGATCGGCAGTGTGGTCGACTTGCGATATGCGTAGGCGTGCGATGTGCTTTTGGAATTTTACGTAACGGAATGGGAATGGTACCATAAACGATTCACGGAACTGCTTTGTAACGGTGTTGGGAATGCTACGTTACGGGAGAGGAACATAGTCATTACGTATACGTATCGTGAAATGCATGGGAGCCAGCCACTGTCAGGTATCGTGGATTTCGGGAATTACCGCATATTCAGGGAGGTGGGCATGCAGTCTGCGCGACGAGATGAATAAATGAATAAATAACCAAATAAATCAATATATAAGCAATAAGCAATAAGCAATTGCATGAGACAATCCCACGAGTAGCATGACCATGACCAACGCGTTGGGAAGGAGATCATTTGGGCATCGGGGGCCAGGGCACTATTATTTTTCGTTGACATTGGGAAGGTATCGGGATCTCTGTATTCTTTGCATCCAGCGTTTATTAGCGGATAGAGGAATGGGGTGCTGCCGTTGGTATCGCTGCGGCGATAGTCGAAGAGCGGAGCATATGCGCTACTCGTGTCGAGGGGGAAATGGAGGAAGCGTGATCACATTCTGGGGTCGGAGATGCGCGAGTAAAATGAGGGCATTGTGGGGTCGGAAATGGGGGAAGCGTGATCGCATTGTGGGGAAATGGGGGAAACGGGATGGGAATGGTACGATGAACGATTCACGGAACTGGCCTTGAGAACAGTCGTGCGGTGATGGGAATGCCACGTAACGGGAGAGAAGCATAGTCATTACGTATACTCATTACGTATACGTATTGTGAAATCCATTCGAGCGTGACACTGTCAGGGAATTGTGCATTTCGGGAATCAGCGCAAATTCAGGCAGGTGGGCATGCAGTCTGCGCGACGGGACGAATAAATGAATAAATAAGCAATATGCAATTCCATGAGACAATCCCACCAGTAGCATGACCGTGACCGATTTCCCTCATTGATGTGGGGAAGGTATCCGGATCTTGTATTTTTTGCATCCAGCGTTTATTAGGGGATAGGGTAATGGGGTGCCGCCGTTGGTAGAGTTGCGGCGATAGTCGAAGAGGGGAGCATCTGCACTACTCGTGTCCAGGGGGAAATAGCGGAAGCGTGATCGAATTGTGGGGTCGGAGATGCGCGAGGTAAATGAACGCATTGTGGGGTCGGAAATGGGGAAAGTGTGGTCGCATTGTGGGAAAATGGGGGAACCGTGATCGGATTGGAGAATATGTGCTGTGAGGTCCTCTACAGTGCCAAGAAAGCCCTGAGTGACATCTGCAGCAATGTCTTGCGCGACGTTTAACACTGGAGATCAGCGGAACACAGATGAGAACATTGACTATGACACCGATGATGTGCTTTCTTTAGATGACGACCATGGTACACCGTCCGCCTCGGACACAGAATATCGCACGCAAGCATCTAAATTGGGCAAACGCAAAAGCACGCCTGCGGACAATCCTCGCACCTCTTCCACCCCTGCAHAAAACATGCATACACGCAAATCACCTGCTGCAGATGACAACCAAACAACGCAATCCACTCGCACACAACAGCAACACACCTCTCCCAACACGCTTCAATGCCCCCAAGCTCATCCTCCGGCACTAGCAGGTCATACAGACCACAGCCAGCCACCCAACAGACTGACCCAAGCAGATACTTATCTGCGTCCATACCCTGCA